AAAAAAAAAAAAAAAAAAAAAAAAAAAAAGACCCAGGAAGGGTTGATATTTCTGTTCCAGAACAAAGGCAGGAAAAAAATGATGTCCTAGCTCAAAGGTAATCTGGCAGAAGAAATTCTTTCTTACTCAGCCTTTTTGTTCTAATCAGGCCTTCAACTGATAAGATGAGGCCCACCCACATTAGGGAGGGCACTCTGCTCTACTCAGTCTATTGACTCAAATATTAATCTCATCCAGAAACATTCTTACAGACACATCAGAATAATGTTTGACAAAATATATGGGTACCCTATGGCCCAGTCAAGTTGCCACATAAAATTAATCATCACATCAATCCAAAGGAAAGTAAGGGAGAGAGAAAAAACAGAAAAGACATTTCAAATATAAGGCACAAAGTAAGATGGTAAAGTCAATCACATCGGTAAATACATCAAATGTAAATAAATTTAAATTCTGCTTAGAATCAACAAGATCCGGAGAAAAGGTATATTAACTCATGCATTCATTCACTAACATCTACAATGTGTTATGCACTGTTTTAGGTGCTTGGATATATCAGTGAGCAAGATAAAGTAATCATATTAAAAATAATAAATAAATGTTTTATATTCATTTTTGTCTATCTGTATATTTCCCTTTTTTTAAAGACTGTGCTGATTATAATTTAAAATATGTTTTTATAAGTTAATTTAAAACTAAATATAAGTAAGAACTCGGTAATTAAATGAACAAATATAAGACATGATTATACAAGGAAACACAGATCAGTAAATTACTAAAAGTGAGAATTAATTTTAACCATGAACTTACAGGAAGCCAAGGCAAAAATGGAAATGGCACATTATAGTTATTTGTCAAAAGTTGCATATGCATTAGAAGACAGAAAATTTTATTAGGCCCAAATTATAATAAAAACTAATATGGATCCTTATATGTTGGGAAATGTACAAATACATAGGTTGTGACATTATACAATTTAACCTTGGAGAAGAACCAGACATCTCAAAATGAACAACTTTCCATTACATGACATTAGAGTTCACAGGCATCATACTCTGGAGAATTTCCAATTAATCCCAATAAATTATATAAAATCCTAGTCTTAAATATAAAATCCTAATCTTAAATATAAAATCAGAGTGATCGTAAGTAATTTGTACTGCCCTTGTAAAAAATAATGAGTTATTCTTTAGATGTGTCTAATCTAATAGCATCAATGATATCAGAAATTTGAGGGAGAGGGGATGGCCCATGGCTGACTTGGGAGAGTGTGGTGCTGACAACACCAAGTGAAGGGTTAAGAACCCCTTACCAGTCATCTTTTTTTAAAAAAAAAAAAAAAGAAAGAAAGAAAGAAATTTGAGAGATACCTACAAAAAGTTAGTGCCTACTGGGGCCTTTTGATAGGAAAAATTGTCATGTGGAGAGATGAATTGGATAGTAAAGCCTTATTAGAAGCAGTGTGAAGACAGTTTGGCCGGGCTAAGAGTGGAGAGGAACACAGGGTTGGGAGGGAGGTAGGAAGAAACACATAAGTCCCTTTAGAGTTTGGATAGGATAGGTTACACAATGCAATAGCAAACATCCCCATAATCTCGATGGTTTAACACAACAGAAGTTTATTTCTCACTTAAGCTACAGGTACAGATGCATCAATGAGGGTCTGTACTCCACAGTTCATTCAAGAACCAAGGCCGACAGAGGTTCTGCCATTTTGTGGATGCACAATGCAGATGGCTTCCTCGGTCTGCATAAATGTGATAAATACAAGGGTAATCCCAAAAATTTGTGAAAAAATAGAATTAAAAGATAATACGAACCTTTCCATGAACTTTGTGAAGTACTCTCATATTTCATAGCCCATTCACAAGAATTTCCCCCAGTCGCCCACTACAAAGTGGCTAGAAAACGTGAAGGAGTACATGGTTATTTGATGAGCAATAAACGACTTTGTAATTGTTCACAGCTATTAGTGTTTTTGTACCGAAAAATGACTCGGAATGTTTCTAACAGTCACGAAATAGAAACATCCGCTATCATTAAGGCCAATTTTATTTCATGACATGCTAAAGTTCTATAAGATAACAAAAGGCAGTGGGTGGGCATAAATCCACACTTTTGCCCTTTAAACAAAGTGCTCTTCCTCTCCACCGTCTTTCACACTTTTACCCCACTCATTGCTTTAAACTTTAACTATTTTTAGCACAAGCCTGGATATACCATAACACTTTTTCCTAGCACCTATTTAATCTACTCTCCTTTTGTTGTTGATCTCATTAATTTTGCTTGAACCTGAGTTGTTAATTGTTTCATTCATTAAACCAAATAATTCTCATACTACTTGGGAGACAAAGTCAGTCACTTGTAGTCACCGAAGGAGATCACAGAAAATTTCACCCACAGAAGTGGGAATCAGATTCCACACAGACTAGAGGCCGTCCCAAGAGATCCACTAACCTAGCTAAGAAGTTTTGTACAAAGACAGGCTGAGTGAGATAGAAAAAAAACACGGGCTTTAGATTCAGACAGAATTGACTTTGAATTTCTGTTTCATTGCTTACATGATTTTGTAATGATAGGCAAGTCACTTAACCTCTCTGAACCTCAGTTTCCTCTTCTCTAAAATGGAACTATGATTAAAAGAATTAGAAGGTTTTTAAAGTGTCTAGCATATAATAAGTTCCTAGTCTTCAAACAATTTGTATTGTTACTATGGCACATGGGCTGATCAATAAACATAAGGTCAATGTAAACTGATACAGGAAGAGAGGAGTTTCTACTTACACTGTACATTAAAGGAGATGATGCTTTAAAAACTCAACGAACTCAAATATGAAAATTTTTCAAAACTGTCCTCAGAAATCTCTAAAGAACAATATCAAAGTAATATAAATTATTTAAAGAGAAAGTTGACAATTGTATACACTGAGATTATCATAAGGTGCATGTAACAAAAATTTACATAAAGCAAGTCAGAGGGAAATAGGGCTTTTGCCAGATGGATTTGTCTTTAGTTAACAACGACATTTTGCCTCTTTCCCATGAATCAATACTAATTAGTAAACTACATGAGAGCAGAGTCTATAAGTGTTTTTGCATGCCATTCTTTTCCAGTACTGGCATATACAGAGAACTCAATAAATATTTTTAATGAACAAATGGATACCAGCTATTATCTCTGGAACTGATAGTTTTCATTTCAAAGAAGTTGCCTAATACGTTCTTTGAGCTGGCTGGTTATCTCAGTTGGTTACAGCATGGCGTTACAAAACCAAGGTCGAGGGTTTGGATCCCCAGACCAGCCAGCCACCAAAATAATAATAATAATAATAATAATAATGATAATAGGGCCAGCCCGGTGGCGCACTGCTACAGTGCGCTGCTTGGGAGCATGGCGGCGCTCCCGCCAGGGGTTCGGATCCCACATGCAGACCGGTTCCCGCTCACTGGCTGAGCGAGGTGCAGGCGCAACACCGAGGGCTGCGATCCTGTTGCCGGTCCCGGTCCGGTACAGGCGCGACACTGAGGGTTGCGATCCGTTGCCGGACATGAGAAAAAAAATAATAATAATAATAATATGTTCTTTGGTAATAGTTTGATAGTTTGACCCTATGCATTTCTGTGACTTGTGACATAAATATTGGGAAAAAATATATGACCAACTGTGACGGTTAATTTTATGTGTCAATCTGACTATGCTATAGTACCCACTTATTTAATCAAACACTAATCTAGGTGGTGCTGTGAAGGTATTCTGTAGATATTGTTAATATCTACAATAAAGCTGTCATTAAGTACAGGAGATTAACTTCAATAATGTGGGTGGGTCTTATTCCGGAGTGGAAGGCCTTAAGAGCAAAAACAGGATCCCGGACAAGAAGAAATTCTGCCTCAAAACCACAGCATCATATCCTTCCCGAGTTTCTGCTACCCTGCCTACAGATTTCAGACTCACCGATCCCCACAATTACGTAAGCTGATTTTTAAAAATAAATCGTATATGTGTGTGTGTGTGTGTGTGTGTGTGTGTTATTGGTTCTGTTTCTCTGGAGAACACTGATTGATATACCAACAAAAGTGAATGATGTTATTTGAGGCTTTAAAGAACTAAGTAGACATCAAAAGTACAACACATCAAATGTTATTCCATGTTGCTATAGACATTTAGTTTTAACTAAAACAAAATGTCTTTTTTATGTTCTTCTTTACTATCAATCCCAAATTACTGATTTCTACCAGCATCTATCACCTTTAACATCTGTGTCCCCTGAACTCTTTGCGTAATAAAATATAGATTTATCAGAATCCAAACCAACTATCGCTGAATCCAACTAAAAGGGGGTTCTAAAAGAAGTATCTTAAATATTACCTATAATATCAACAGCAAAGAGGCCTAAAATCATACAGAATGCACTTATGCCACATTAGAGTTCACGTAATAAAAAGATATCATAATCATGTACTCTATGCCTATTAATCTAAAGTTCCAAGCTTTAGCATATGTCTAAACAACAGAAATAAAGAGCTCATCAAATCCAGGCCAAAGAGGATTTAACAAATATATTCAAAAGGGCCATAAATATTAATATAACAGATAGTATTTAAAAACAGAAAAGAAAAACAGATAGTATTTAAAAACAGAATAGAAAATGTCAGTTTTAACATACAAAACTAGAATAGGAACACCGATGTAGTGTTGATATTGAGAAATACAATCTGCATTTATGTGATATGAGACACCTGGACCATGTTACAGAAATGCAAATTTTATTGTCTTACACATGTAGTGGGAAAAGGGAGGGAGAATAAGTGTCAAGGGTTAAAGTATAAATTCTGGAATACTTTATCCCCTCTCTCAATGACTGTCCTAATACTAAATTGTTCAGTGGAAACAATTAAGCATCAAGTTGTAATAACAAAATGGAGGAAATCTAGTGATCTGTTTAATCAACATAAACAAATGATCAAAATAATTCAATCAATTTCTATGGCCTAAGAATAACTTTTTTGTCTCCTCCTTTACCCTGCTCATCTTCTATTCCCAAGTGTTACAGTCAGGTCACAGCAACAAAAGCCCATTTTACCATACACTGCCTACCTCAATATGCCTAAAGAAGTACAATAATATTTCTAGATTCCAGATGTACAACTATTTCAAGAAGCAAGAAGCACCTGGCCAGACTGGAAAATGGTAGTATTTTATGGTCCCAGTTTAGTTTATGGCCATTTTACAAAACCTACCAAAGTTATAAAAAATTTAAAGATTTTCCTATAATTAAGAAATTGATACTTTGTCTCTCCATTTCTAATTCCTTAATTCCAATTCCACCAGGGTGGTTTATGTTGTTAGAAACATCTTTGGAGGATTAGCATTTTAGGCATACTTTTTAAGTGAATATAATAATTGATTATATGTAATTCATTTCCTAATCATGAATAAAATTTTAACCCCATAAAAGATGTTTAATAGCAATTTCAACTACTAAGCATATAATTTATGATGTTAGGGGATTAAAAATCAAATTTCAAGGTGGTCAGAGTATAAATTCAAGAACTTTAGATAATTTTAAAGAGAACAAAACAGAGATAAAATGTGTATCATTGTTTATATAATTATGTGTAATTATACATTACTACTCTACATGTTCACATAATACAATAGAATAATATTATTCAAAAGTTTTTTTTAAACATATCTTTTTAAAAACAATGAAATAGCAATAAAATAATTTTCAGTTCTAGTATCAATAAATCTTATTAATAAATGAAAATAAAGTAAAGGAAAATGCAGTAAAACCCAAAGATACTAATTACTCTGCTTTTTCAAGGGGAAAATTTGGCAGTACAATTATGTGGTCCCTACACATTCAAAGCTTCCATCAACTTTGATGATTGTGCCTTCACAAGAAACACTGAATTACTTTCTGATATGCAATTTTTTTATTAGTAAGAAGATCTCATAATAATCGTTATACAGTTTAAGTATATTCCCATGTATGAGAATTTTCAACAAAGGGACCTCACTTTTACTAAGGCAATGACTGAATTTTGTGCAGAATTCTCCACTTTTTAATATATCAAACCCATTAAACAACACCCACTTGATTTTCAATTGCTTGGGTAGATGGGATTAAAGAAAATGCAGTTATAAGCCCATTTACAATAGTCACAAAAAATAAAATATTTATGGGCCAGCCCGGTGGCACACTGCTACAGTGCGCCGCTTGGGAAGCGCGGCGGCACTCCCGCCGAGGGTTCGGATCCCATATACAGACCGGCCGCTCACTGGCTGAGCGAGGTGTGGGAGCAACACCGTGGGTTGCGATCCCGTTGCCGGTCCCAGTCCGGTACGGGCGCAACACTGAGGGTTGTGATCTGTTGCCAGTCACGAAAAAAGACAAAAAAAAAAGGAAAAAAAAAATTTAGGAATCAACTTAACCAAGGAGGTGAAAGATCTCTATAATGAGAACAACAAATCATTGTTGAAAGAAATTAAAGAGGACATAAAAAGATGTAAAGACATTCCTTGCTCTAGATTGAAAGAACTAACATTGTGAAAATGTCCTACTACCCAAAGTGGCCTAAACATTCAATGTAATTCCCATCAAAATACCAATGATATTCTTCACAGAAACAGAAAAAACAATCCTAACATCCTAACATTCATATGGAGCAATAAAAGACCCCAAATGGCAAGCAATCTTGAACAACAACAACAAAAAAAGCTAGAGGCATAACACTACCTGACTTCAAATTATACTACAAACCTATAGTAACCAAAACAGCATGGTACTAGCATAAAAACAGACACTTGGACAAATGGAACAGAATAGACAACCCAGAAATCAATCCACATAATTACAGCCAACTGATGTTCAACAAAGGCAAGAAGAATATACACTGGGGAAAAGACTGCCTCTTCAATAAATGGTGCTAGGAAAATTAGACATCCATATGCAGAAGAATGAAATTAAACCCATAACTCTCACTATATATCAAACTCTTCTCAAAATGGATTAAGGACTAAATATCAGACATGAAACTATAAAACTCCTAAAAGAAAATGCAGGGGAAACACTTCAGGAAGTAGGACTGGGCAAAGACTTTATGAACATGATCCCAAAAGTACAGACAACAACAGGAAAATTAAACAAATGGGATTTTATCAAAGTAAAAACCTTCTGCACAGCAAAAGAAACAATTAACAGAGCAAAAAGACAACCTACAGAGTGGGAGAAAATATTTGCAAACTATGCATCTGACAAAGGATTAATATCCAGAATATACGAGGAACTGAAAAGACTTAAGAGCAAAAACAATCCTATTAAAAAATGGGCCAAGGAGCTACACAGGCATTTCTCAAAGGAAGGTATACAAATGGCCAACAGATACATGAAAAAATGCTCAACATCACTCAGCATCAGGGAAATGCAAATCAAAACTACATTAAGATACCATCTCTCACCCCAGTTAGACTGGCTATCATCAAAAACATGGAGAACAACAAATGCTGATAAGAATAAGGAGAAAGGGGAATCCTCCTACACTGTTGGTGGGACTGTAAATTAGCACAGGCATTATGGAAAACAGTATGGAGATTCCTTAAACAACTTCAGACAGAACTGCCATATGATCCAGCAATCCCATTGCTGGATATATATACCCAAAGGAATGGAAAGCATCATGTCGAAGAGATACCTTCACCCCCGTGTTTATCACAGCTCTATTTACAATAGCCAAGAGTTGGAACCAACCCAAATGTCCATCATCAGATTACTGGATAAGGAAAATGTGGTATATTTATACACAATGGATTATTACTCTGCCATAAAAAAGAATGAAATATTG